TTTCGCGTGCCACGATCAGCTGTTGTCGCATATTTGATCACGACGCTGGCGAATTCAGAGTTGTGGGATGCTGCGCGCCCACATATTTCATTACGTATGCAGTTGCGATTGGCCATGCGTTGCGCGCGCATACTTGCACGCGCGATATTGCGCGCCGGAGGAAACAACTGCGCCATTTCATTTCAGTAGTGTCCTTGGCGCAGGACTTGCTCTTCCTCTTTTTCTGACCCTCCCAGCCCCCTAGCCCGTGGCGACGGGGCGTCGTCGACGTGTGCCGAAGCGACTTAGGGGGCGCACCTTCGGCCCGCTAAGACGGATTGGCCCCCTTAAGTGCCCCGTGATGCGTGGTTGACTTTTCTCGGCACTCTTTGGTTGGGCATTCGTTTTGAAAAGGGGACTGTGGTCTACACCTCCCTTCTTCCCGCTTCCCTCCCTCCTCCTGCGTCCTACTTTCTGCTTCCTGCTTTATTCCCAACCCTCCATGGTTGGGTATTCGTTTTGAATAGAGCACTGCTCGCGCGTCTCCACCCGCCTCCCTCCTGCCTCCTGCCTGCCTCCTCCTGTCTTGCCTGCGGGGGGCTGCGATCTGTGAGACTGTCGCTCCTTTCGAGGCCTGCTGGGGGGCCCAGCGCAGTGGCGCCACGCGCGGACCCAAATTTTGATTTCGCCATCCCTGGGGGGCTGCGATCTGTGAAACTGTCGCTACTTTCGAGGCCTGCTGGGGGGCCCAGCGCAGTGACGCCGCGCGCTGACCCAAACTAGACCTCGCCATCCCTGAGGGGCTGCATCTGCGAAGCTGTCGCCACTTTCGAGGCCTGCTAGGGTGCCCCGCACAGTGGCGCCACGCGCGGGCCCCAACTTGACCTCGCCATCCCTGGGGGGGGGGGCTGCGATCTGTGAAATTGTTGCCGCTTTCGAGGTCAGCTGGGGGGGCCAGCACAATGACGCCTCGCGCAGATTCAAATTCGACCTCGCCATCCCTGGGGGGGGGGCTGCGATCTGTGAAACTGTCGCTACTTTCGAGGCCTGCTGGGGGGCCCAGCGCAGTGACGCCGCGCGCTGACCCAAACTAGACCTCGCCATCCTTGGGGGGCTGCGATTTGTGAAGGTGTCGCCACTTTCGAGGTTTGCTGGGGGGGCCAGTACAGTGACGCCACACGCAGATTCAAATTAGACCTCGCCATCCCTGGGGGGGGCTGCGATCTGTGAAACTGTCGCCACTTTCGAGGCGTGCTGGGGGGCCCAGCACAGTGAGGCCATGCCCAGGCTCGAATTAGACTTCGGCAAGCGCGCCCGCACCGCCTACTGGGGCGTCGAGCGATTGAAGAGCGAGGCCCCACGTGGCGCAAGCTCTTTGGCTAGCTTTTGCACTCCGTTCTGTGCAGCTCTTGCATCTTGCAGTGACTGTGGCGACAATAGGCATGCCTCAGAACATCGTCCCTCCCTTTCCTCCGACCTTCCTTTGTCGCCACACTCGTGCTCTCCAGCTCATGTTGCTGCTGCCGCGTCAGCGGCGGCTCTTATGGGGGCCTGGCGAGTAGTAGTTCAATCACATGTGTCTGCGTTTATGCTGCATCAAAATGTTTGGAACCCGCTGGGTGAATTGTGCTACCTCGTAAAAGATGCAAACGCTTTGCACATCCTTTGCAGGGGTCGACGCGGAAAGAAACAGCTTGCTCTCCACGAGACGCCCTTCATGCCTCGCGAATTGCTCCCATGCCCTCGATCGCATCATCCTCGAACCGTTATTGTTTCTGGGACTTCGCCGCAGACTCAAGTTAGACCTCGCCATATCTCGGGGGCTGCGATATGATATCCCCGTTTTCGAGGTGGCTAGGGGCGCTCAGGGATTGTAGCTAATCAGCTTTATCTGGTCCTTGTCCTGTAGCCAGTGTCCTGCGAGTCTCGCGAATTCCGTCTGCAGACGTACGTGACCCTCGCTCCGTCATTGCCCCTTTTACATAGAGTGTCCGCAACTATTTGCGCCCCGCGTTTGCGCAGGGGTCGGGTACGTCGCCATGGTGCTTTTGTACCCCCGCAAAGGATGGGACAAAAAAGTGTTTCGAGCGGTCTTCACACCACTGTTCCCGAGCCCCGCCCTCCTCTGTCTGCTGCGGGCCCGAGGCCCATTTGCAGCGGGCGGGATTCGGTGCGGGGTGCGTGCGAGTGCAGGCCGCTCACGTCACCTCTCGACGAATTTATCCCGGCATTCTTTCGGCTCCGGTCCAGAGGAGGAGGAGCAATGGGAGGAGGGGGAGGGGGGGGGAAGGAGGAGAAAAAGGAGGGGGAGGAGGAGCAGGAGGAGGAAGAGTGTGAGGAGGAGGAGGAGGAGGAGGAGGAGGAGGAGGAGGAGGAGGAGGAGGAGGAGGGGGAGGAAGAGGATGGGGACGAGGACGAGGATGACGAGGACGACAACGAGGACGAGGACCTAGACGAGGACGAGGAGGAGAAAACCGAGGACAACGAGGAGAACGAAGACTGCAACGAGGAGGGGGGCGACGAGGAACATGAGGAGGAGGAGGAGGAGCAGGAGGAAAAAGGGGAGACCTTTTTGGGAACCCTTTTTTTCTCTGGGGCTCTTGGGGCATCTTCGGGCTTCACGGCGGCCTTGTGCCGCCATCTGGGATCGTCTCGGAGGCGTCCTGGGGCCATCTTATGTCAGGCGGGGTCATATTCGCAGTCTCAAAGTGCATCTTGGGCATTCCTGGCGCAGTGCAGCGTTATCCCTGACCATCTGGGAGTCGAGCCTCGTTGTGTCGTGGAGAGAACTCAGTGGCAGCCCTCTGGGGGTTCTTTTGTGGCGGTCTGGCGATTTCGGGCCCCTCTTGGATTGCTTGGCCCACGGTCAATCCTGCCATCGTGCTTTGATGTGGTACCTGTGGGGATATTTTAGGGACCGTCTTGGAGCTCTGTCCTGGTTTTCTTGGAGGTTTCTTGGAGCTCTCTCTAGACTTCTGAGATTTCCAAGATGCTTCAAGAGGAGGCCCCAAGGGGCACTAAGAGGTCCCAAACAAACCCTGAGAGGACCCCATGAGGGCTCCCGAAACAGCCCACAACAGTGTCATACTAGATGCTCCTGGTCTGATGTTGGTAAGGCCTTGCTTGGAATTCTGTTGGAGAGCCGTCCGTGGGCTCTCTTTGAGCGCTCGGGCGATTTCAGGTCCGACTTGGATTATCGAGTGTCCAGCGGCCCATCCCGCAACCGTTCCTGGGTAGTGGGTCAGAATCCTCCTGGATACTTCTTGTGATCTCGTCGGAGGGCTGTCTGAGGCCCCTGGATGCAGTTTAGAGGCCGCTGAAAAGCCTCTTGGGAGCCTATTGGGAGTGGCTTGAAGCATCTTGGCGGCCCTCTTTTTGGAAGCGCGGGGGGGATCTAGAAAAACGCTCCTTAGAGACCCCAGGGGGCTTTTGAGGGGCCCCGTGCCTGCTTAGAAGCCCCCTCGCTTTCTCAGGATGCCCTCCCTGCCCTCCCACACCCCGTGGGCGCCGCCAGCGAGAGCTGCGCGACGAGGTTCGGGGTTTGTGAAAGGTGCCTCTGGCCCAAGGTGCTCCCAGCTTCCGCTCGAGTTTGGAGACTGGTGCCCTCTGGGCCTCGTGGGGGGTGCTCTGGAGGCCGTGGAGGCCTTAGAGATCCTGGGGGCACCTTGGGCCAGGGGCACGTCTACGGTAGGTTTGCGTCGTGTCGACCAGCGGCGACCCCAGCGCGGGCGTTCAAGGTTGAACGCCGCCGGCGACCCAGAATCGATCGATGTTGAACATTTGGACGTGGCGGAGACGGCCGATCGTTCAAGGTTGAACGATCCCCGCGGTGTCAGGAACCAACGCCGAAGTCGGCACGACGCGGACCTGCCGTAGCAAGCCCCGCGAGGTGGGAGAGAGTGCAGCGCACCCAGGCCCCCGGCTCGTTTCTACACGCGGTGCTCGGCGACGAGATGCAGGCGGCGGCGGAGGTGGCCGAGGCCGGCGGGCGCCCCGTGGTCCTGGGCGACCAGCCCTCGAAGCAGATCAACGCGAGGATCGGTGCGATCGAAGTGGGTGCGGGAAGGAATGGGTTCGATGCTCGTTTCGGGGGCCTTCCTGGAGCCCGCCTAACGGATCTGTTCGACCCCAGTTCGACCCCAGTTCGACTCAAGTTCGACTCAAGTTCGGCTCAAGTTCGACTCGGGTTCGACTCAGGTTCGACTCAGGGTCGACTCAGGGTCGACCCACATCGACTGACGTTCGACGCAGCTTCGACGGACGAGTGGAGCGAGTGGCTCCAGGAAGGTCCCCAGAACGAGCATCTAAAATGGGTACAAAGGTCGACCGCAGTTCTTGATCAGTCTGGGTAGGACTCGAGTCGGCGTCGTCGTGGACGCGGTCCGTTTGAGGCATAACCGGCCGCCTTCCCAGCAGCGGCCGCGGCCGCTGTCGGCGTTGGGCATCCAGCTGCTGGGCGCCGTGCCCGTTGCCTTTGGCGTTCGTGCTCGCTTTGGGCGCTCGCCGATCAGGAGGGACAAAAAACACACAGACACAATTAATCCTCGATTCCCAGGAAAATATGGGAAAATTTGGGAATTGGGGGGGAAGACAAGAACCCAGAAAATATGGGAAAATATGGGGACTATTTTTATTTGTGTGTATTTATTTGTGTGTCCTAATTTCCCTTTAGATTTGGGCGCTCGAAGAGGATCCTCGCCTGTGCGCGGACCGCCTGGGCCGACCTCGCCTCGCCCCTGCAGGGGGGCTGGGGGCGCACCCTGCAGGGCATCGCGGACGGGGTGGCCTCGCTGGCGCGGGGGGCGCACAGAAAGGGTCGGGCCGCCGAGGCCGCCGCCGAGGACTCCTTGTCGATCCTCCTCCTCCTCCTCCTCCTCCTCCTCCTCCTCGTCCTCCTCGTCCTCCTCCTCCTCCTCCTCCTCCTCCTCCTCCTCGTCGATCCTCGAGGAGCCGGGCTCCATCGGGGCCTCCGACCTCCTGGACCCCGGCCTGGTCGTCGGCACGCCGGTGGCCGCCCTGCGCTACCTCGCGATGTGCGGCTGCCTGCGGCAAGTCCCGCCGCCGTGCCATCGCAGCATTCCGGGTGGCGACTTCTCGGGGGGGCGCGGGAAGCCGTCGCGTGCGACGCACGGGGCCTCCCGAGGCCCTGGGGTCCTTTCGAGGACCAGTTGCAGAACCCCTGCCAGACAGCACCTGGCACTCCACCACGCCTTGAGGTGCCAGGGGGCACGGTGGCGGATCTTGCCTGCGTTCCTCCCGCCTGTCCATGGTGGTGTTGCCCGCCATGGCGCTGTCGCTCTTCCCGGAGGCGCCAGTGTCCTCGGAGTTGCCGGGCGTGACGTGGGACGGCCTGGCGTCGGTGCTGCTGGTGCTGCTCGCCACCTTCACGCTGCGGGTGTTCGTCGGCATCTGGGAGGAGGTGTTGATCGGCACGCGGAACGTCGTGCTTGCTCGATCCATCTCGAAGAAGATCAGATTGCGTGAACAAAGACTTCTGCAGCTCTGCGCCGATCTCTTGCATCGGTGCGGCGCCGCCCCCGGCGGCGCCTCTGGCGCCGCCCCAGACGCGCTCCGCCCGCCAGAGAGGGGGGGCAGGAGGAGGAGGAGGAGGAGGAGGAGGAGGAGGAGGAGGAGCAGGAGGAGGAGGAGGAGGAGGAGCAGGAGGAGGAGGAGGAGGAGGAGGAGGAGGGGGTGCAGGGCCGGAAACCGATGTTCATTATGTTTTGTTCTTCTCCTACCATCGGCGCTGCCTGTGCGGCTGTGGCGGGGCGCGGCCAGGCGGTCGTCGCCGTGTTGGGCGCGCTGCATTGCAACGGCGTCAAGGAGCTGCTGCTCAGCGGGGACTACGTGGGCGACGCAGAGCCAGCTCCGTGCGAGGAAGGCGCCCGTTCAGCGCTCGTGTTTGCCCAGCCATCGGGCGCAGTGCAGCGGTAGGGGCCAGCCGTTTTTTTCGAGAGAGATTGGTTGCGCAACAGTCTTGGTGCCCTTCCCTCTCCCCTCTCCCGCCTGTGCGCACCTATCGAAGATCGCGGGCGGCGCAAAAAGCAGGCGATGTGGAGTCCTCCTGCTCTTGCATCCCTTCTCCCTCTGCCTCTTCCTTCTGCGCCTGTGTATGCCAACTGGGTTGTCTTGCTTCGTGGATGGTGCGTGGGCACGACTTGAATCAATCGAAAACAGCTTGCAATTATGCCCTTGGCGGTGGACTACGGGAATCGCGAGCGAGAGACCATGCGGGTGTGAAGGGCAAAGCGTACGTACAACGGCAAATACGCCAGGTGCCTTGCGCATTTTGTGGCATGCAATGCACGGCGCGAAACGGGACAACACGGACAGCACGGCACATCTCGTTGCCCATTGGCACGCTCTGTTCTTCATTACCACTTATCTCCAGATGTTGTTGGAGACCGCCAGGCTTTTGTTTGTGTGAGTGTGATCATGTTTGGCCGCGTGCACTCCGTAAAATCTACGCATGCCCCTGTAATCATTTAGCATGGCACGCCTGGCGTGGCACGCGTGACACGACTTGGTACGAGAATCAAGCACAGCTGCTATTGGAGATCATCTCGGGAAGTTTTCCAGCCTTCGCTGTTTAGGGAGTGCCCTCTCTCTTCCATCTCCCTCCTTTGATAATGTTTGGTTGTCCTAGTATCCCCACGCGAGCTCTCAATGCCATAGAGTGTCGAACCCGTCTGTCAGCGTTGAGGCAGCGTAGGGAGGCAGCATTGAGAGGCTCGAAGGGGCAACGCTCAGAGGTTCGCTCCCCGTTGTCACGGGAACTTTCTGGGGCTTCCATGGAGCAGCACCCCAGGGCCTCCCGTGCTCCTCACAGATCCAGGCCTCTCGAGTGGGGCCAGGGCAGGGTGGGGTAGATGGATCGCGCCGCCGCGCCGCATGGCCGGCGTATTCACGAGGCGGCGCGATCTGGAGTCTGACTGTTGTGAGGCTTTACGGCCGGTGCCGCCGACCCGGAAGGTTTACGACGACGACCACCACCACCACCACGACGACAACGACAACGACAATGACAAGTTGCCAAAGACTGATGACATGCGACGGGCGGCGCAGCGGCGCACTCATGTTACGCAGCCACGTTTCACAATTATGTGTTTTTTTCTCTGGCTTCGGGATCAAAGGAGGCCAGCTGCAACATGACGAGTTCGAAAACCATTCTAACCAACTCCACGCCACTTCACTTTCATCCTCTTCCATCCTCTCTCTCTCTCTCGTCCTTGTCCTCGTCGTCGTCCTCCTCCTCCTCCTCCTCCTCCTCCCTCTCCTCATCCTCCTCCCCATCCTCCTCCTCCCAAGAAGCGAAAACCATAAGAACATGACAACAAACGAACACAGCACAAAAATAGTCCTTGGGAACTTCTTGGGGGGAGGGAGGGGTAGCGAAGAGTCCCCCAAAATTTTTGTTTAGTTATTTTTGTTATTTTGGTTTTGCGTTTTTGCGACCCGGAGGGGGGCCCAGGAGGGGACCCAGGTGGGGGCCTGGAGGGGACCAAAGAGGGGGCCCAGGAGGGGACCCAAGAGGGGGCCAAGGAGGGAACCCAGGAAGGGACCTCCCTCTCTCTTACCCTCTCGCTCACCCTCTCTCGCACTCCCTCTTTCTCTTTCTCTCCCCTTGTCTCTCTGCCTCTCTTTCTTGCCCTCTTTGTCTCTCTCTCTCTCTCTCCACATATGTGTGTGTGCCACTCATCCTTCTTCTCCTCCTCCTCCTCGTCATCTTCCTTCTCCTCCTTCTGTCCCCCCCTCCTACGTCTCCCAAGAGGAAAAAGAGGCGTGGTAGGACATGGATGAGAATGATCGTCAGGAGGAGGAGGAGGAGGAGGAGAAGGTTGCGGAGGAGCATGGGGAGGTGTGAGAAGTGGAGTGTAAGGCGGAGGAGCATCGGGGTGATAGAGTAGTCACTCCACTTGCTGCTCTTCCTCCTCCTCCTTCTCCGTCTCAATATCTGCCTGCTTCTCCTGCTCCCATCACTCCTCCTCCCCGCCGTCATCCTTTTACTTCTTCTCCTGTCTCTCTCGCATGCGAGGAGGAGGAGGAGGAGGGACGGTGATACGAGGAGGACTTCTTTGAGCACGGGGAGCACCGGGACGACGATGGTGATGACCAGGTTGAGCCGTCACTCCTTCCCGTCCTGTGCTCCCATCAATCATACGCGTCCTCCTCCTCACTCTCCGTCTATCAATCTTCCCTACCGTTCATGCCCATATCCTTCGTATCAAAGGGGGCAGGGGGAGGAGGAGGAGGAGAAGGGGGAGGAGGAGGAAGAGGAGGAGAGCTTGGAAGGAGGAATAAACCCTCCTTCTAAGCTCCACTCTTCATATGACCTTACAACGGTTATATTTACTGAGGGAACTGCTTCGTTGGAAGACAACTGTTTGAATACCTTGAATCATCATAAATCATTGTTCTCGGGATTCCAACGCCACGGATCAACCTGAACGTTGCGCCTTGCTGATCCTGAATGGTGCCAGAACGCCATTCTGAGGCTTGAACACCATGAGCCAACATAACTTATGCACCATCATAAGCCTGATTCCTTCCAAAACACCATGTCCGGTACGTTGATCATGGGGGCCAGCGAACCTCTTGTAAATCTTGAAAGCGAATGTGCGGGGCGCTACGGCGAGAACCACATGTTTAAAAGGAACCGCCCTGAACCCGTGAAGCTCTTGCAAACTTTAGGACGAATTTGCGCGACGCCAAGGGGAGAGCCACATTTTGAAAACGACTCGTCCTCAGCCCGAGAAACTCTCGCAACTCTTGAAAACGAGTGTGCGCGGCGCTAAGGCGAAACCAGAAGTTTGAAAAGGAACCGCCTTCAATCCGTGAAAGCCTTGCAATTGTTTGAGTCGAGTGTGCGCGGCGCTAAGGCGAGAGCCACATCTTGCGCACAGCGTTAAGGCGAAAGCGGTCAAGCGGTTGCAATTTCTTTGGTTTCAGAATCATAAGTGGTGAGGAAGTCTCGGGCGAAACGCCCGACCCGCCCTAACTACTGTCCTCGGTGTGCCATAGGGAGAAGGTATCTACAGGGAGAAGCGGTGGAGGGAGGGAGGGAGGAAGAGGAGGAGGAAGAGGAACGACCCTCAACATATAATCCCCCCATGTTCATGGTCATCGTCATCATCCTTCACGTCGTCCTTCTATCAATCTTCTGTACCCTCCTCCGTCATCATCACCCTCTTCTGCACTCTCCCGTAAGACAGATGACGATGATCATGAATAGCAGGTGGGAGGATGAGCGGGCGGAGGAGGGTGATTCGGCGGGGGGGCGGAGGGTTGATGGGAGCAACGGGAGGGGGTGGGTGGGGAGGACAGAGGGTGATTCTTCAATTTCCTCTGCCTCCTTCTCTTCATCCGAGTCCTCCTCCTCTTCAGTGGGCCTCCCCCGCCACCCCCACGAGTTCCGCCCCACTGCGGGGGGCCTCCTCCCTCTCGTCGTCCTCCACATGTTCCGATGGAAGGAGAGGGAATCCAAGAGTGGATGCCCCCCCCCGCCCTTTCAGTTTGCCGCCCTTGTGGGTTCCTCCCCGCTGCGCGAAAGTTGGGGACGCAGAATTTCCAAGCGAGCTCAGGCAGCGCCCGCACTTGTGCTGAAGACAAGCTCAAGATACCTCTCCCAGATCCTCCGCCCGCTCGCACAATCACTTTCACGTACGCACGCTTTCTCTCTCTCTCTCTCTCTTTTTCTCTTTCCTTCTCTCTCTCTCATCTACAGATATGATACCAGAGAACAAACCCCAATAAGATATGTTTTTAATATTCCAATTGCTCCCTTTGTAATCGGCCGGAGCGGCAGGCACCAGTGGGCTATAGGGCAATCGGGCTATAGGGCTATCGGGCTATAGGGCTCTCGGGCTATAGGGCTATGGGGCTATAGGGCTATAGGGCTGGCTATAGGGCTATAGGGCTATGGGGCTATAGGGCTATCGGGCTATAGGGCGGGCTATAGGGCTATAGGGCTATAGGATTGTGACCTATAGGGCCATAGGGCAATAGGGCTATAGGGCTATGGGGCTATAGGGCTATAGGGATATAAGGCTATCAGGGCTATAGGGATACAAGGCTATATGGCTACATGGCTATAAGGCTATACGGCTATAGGGCTATAGGACGCACCTCACCTAACCCTTTAATCCGCTAGGACCCCTACAGAGGCAAGCTCTGACTGGGGAATCTATATGTATGTATCGATCAGCGAGTTTACATGTGTATATATATATGTATATGTATGCATACTGGTCAGTCTGCATACATGACCGCTTTCACACACACACACACACACTTTATCGCCCTGTGCTTTAAGAACTGCTTGAACACGCAAACCGCCGCTAGTGCCCTGAAACCATGGAATAATGAGCCGTCAGCCGCCTCTTCCTCTTGTTCTTCCTCCTGATCCTCCCCCCCTTCTCCTCATATGCATTCCCTGCTTCCTCCTAACACTTCCCCTCCTCGTCGTCCTCCCCCTTGGGAGGGATGCGAAGAAGATGAGGATGATGCGTGCAAGGGTGAACGGCAGGAACAGGGGTGATTGGCGCAGGGGGACACTGAGGTTGATCGGTCCTCAGCCTCCTCCTGAGCTTTCGACTCCTCGCCCGATGCTCATCGTATCACCCCTCCTCCCCCTCCATCCCCCTCGTCATTCTATCACCAGTTCTCCCCCCGATGTTCCCATAAGTATGGAAGAGGGAGGGTGGCAGAGGATGGTGAGCAAGTGGGAGAAAGGTGGGTGGTAGAAGGATGGGGAGGAGGAGGAGGAGGATGAGGAGGAATGGGAGGGGGGGGGTGAAGCGTGATTTTAGCAGTCCTCCTGGCCCTCCGCCGCCTCCTCCTCATCGTCCTCCCCCTCCTCCCCCTCCTTATTTTCCTTCTCCTCCTGTTGCTCCTCCTCTTCTTATTTCTCATGATGCTGGTTTTCTTTTCCTCCTCCTCCTCCTTCTCATCATCATTATCATCATCATCATCATCATCATCATCATCATCATCATCATCATCATCATCATGATCATGATCATGATCATCATCATCATCATCATCATCATCATCATCATCATCATCATGATCATCATCATCATCATCGGCATCATCAACCCCCTCCCCCTACAGCTCCTGCTCCTCCACCGCCATCTTCCTGCCCCTCCTCCTTCTCCTCCTCCTCTTCCTCCCCCTCCTCTTCCTGCCAATCATAATCCAATGGCATGGCACGTTCAAGCAAGACAATCTGATCAAAAAACAATCCGCCTGTAGAAGCGTCCAACAATATGCAGCTGTGGAATGTGGAAACCACAAGTGTGAGTAGCGTCGTCGATTAAGCTGCTCCCCCGTTGGAGCCACGTCACTTTTGAAGGGGTGTGCCGAAATGTGTGCGGCGGGCGCATGCGAGCACAGTCTTTGGGTCCTTTGGTGGGGTTCCCTATGGCGCCACGGCACGTGTGAGGGGTGTGCCGAAATCGGAAATGGGTGCGGCGGGCGCATGCGGGCTACACGGGGCGTTCGGTAGAGTTCCCTGTGGGGCCACGAAACGTGTGAGGGGTGTGCCAACATGGGCGAGGCGGGCGCATGCGAGCACAGCCACTGGGGTTTTCAGTGGAAGGACATCCTTAGGTGGCCACGAAAGATGTGTGCCATAATGGGTGCGGCGGGCGCATGCGAGCGCAGCCATTGGGGCCTTCGCTGGAGCTCCCTATCGGGCCACGCAACGTGTGAGGGGTGTACCGAAAATGGTCCGGGGGGTGTATGCGAGCGCAGCCATTGGAGCCTTCGGTGGAGTTCCCTATGGGGCCACGGAACGTGTGAGGGGTGTGCCGACATGGATGCGGCGGTCGTATGCGAGCGCAGCCATTGGGGCTTTCTGTGGAGGGGCCACGAAGCGTGTGATGGGGTGTGCCGAAATGGGCGCGGCGGGAACATGCGAGCGCAACAATCGGGGCCGTCGGTAGAGCTCCCCATGGGGCCGCGAAGCGTGTGAGGAGGGTATGCCAAAACTGGTGCGGCGGGCGCACGTGTGCGCAGCTACTGGGGCCTTCGGTGGGGCTCCCTATGAAGCCTCCATATGGGGCCACGGAGCGTGTGAGGGTGTGTGCCAAAATTGGTGCGGCGTGGGCATGCGAGCACAGCTACTGGGGGTTTCGGTTGGGCTCCTTATTTGTCCACGAAGCGTGTGAGGTGTGTGCCGAAATGGGTGCGGCGGGCGCATGCGAGCGCAGCCATTGGGGCTTTCGGTGGAGCTCCTTATCGGGCCTCGAAAGTGTGAGGGGCGTGCCGAAATCGTCGACTGGCGCGGAGCTGAAGCATTGGGGCCACGAAGGGTGTGAGGGGTGTGCGGAAAGGAGCGCGGCGGGCGCACGCGAGCACAGCCACTGGGGCCTTCCAGGTGTTCCAATCGACGCTGGGGTGTCGGACACATCCGCTGGGGTTCATGAACCGTTGCCCGCCCCGCAGGTGCATTGTTAGTGAGGGGGCTCTTTCATCCCCCGTCTTTTGGAGGAAGGAGAAGCGACGCCGCCACCACCAGGGTCACCGCGGGCGAGAAGCTCTACGATGCCTTCCCGAGCTGGAGGTTGGAGATGTCTCTGGCGGGACGCCGGAAGACATGGCGCCACACCGACCCGGAGACCCCCCTCTGCGCCTTGATCATGGTGGTGGCAGTGGTGGTACTGCTTTCGCTTCCTCCTACTCGCGCCCGTTTCTCTGTTCAGTTGGGCGACGCAGGAAACGGGGGCCGACTGCGCAGGCACAGGCGCGCAGGCTTCCCGCGTAAGATCGCGCGTGAGGGCCCTCTGCCAGGCGTGGCGTGCCGCACTGGTGGGCCGCGTACGGCGTGAGCCACCGCGTGAGCTCGATATTCCCTCTCGCCCGAGGCACCGTCTTCTTCTTCGCTCAGCTCGTCTGGCGGCGCGCACGAGCGGGTGGCGCGAGGGGGGCGGGTGCGCTCTATTGGAGATGGGGGGCTTCTGAGAAGGCCACCCCCCGATGAAGAAACGCCGGGAGGCACGAGCGCACACCACGCCAGGAGGTCCGCGCGGAGTTCTCGGATCGGCGCCGGACCGCCCTTCCTAGCGCGCGGAGCGAGCCAGTGGTGGCGCGCGGAGGCGCTGCCAGGGGGTTCAGCGCCGATCCAAGAAGTCCGCGCGGACCTCCAACAGTCTGTGTTTGTGCTTGAGCTTGGTTCTCGCTCCTCGTGCTGCCCCGTTGTGCGCGCCGCCAACACGTGCACTGCATCCGCGGCGATCGAAACGGTCGGGGGCTGTCATGGGCGTCCCTGGCGCCCACGGTGTCGCAAGCTGCTCGCTCCAGTTTGAAGCTCCTCTGGGGCCTCGCGGTCTTGTGTGTCAGGGGCAACGTCAGTGGGGGATGAGCTCAAATGGGGACGCGTCGACCCCCAGTCGCCCGTGGTTCGCCGATGGGGGCCCGATAGCAAGCCCCGTCCAGGACCATGCAGTTCCGCTGTCGGGAGCCGATCGCGGATCCATCGGCGACGTATCGCGATTCCCGCTCGCTGTCCCCCCCCCCCCCCTGAGGCGGCCGCCCCCTCACCCTCCTCCTCCTCCTCCTCCTCCTCCTCCTCTTCCTCCTCCTCCTCCTCCTGCCCATCCCCCTCCTCCTCCTCATCCTCCTCTTCCTCCTCCCACTCCTAATCCTCCTCCTCCTCTTTCTCCTCCTCCTCCAGCACCAACTTGCCCCTCAGAGAGCGGTGCTGTCGAGGCCTTTCCGGGGGGGGGCTCCTTCTGCGGACACCTCGGGCCAGGGACGCCTCCGGCCGCCCCCGGGGCGGGGGGCGGGAGGTCGAGCGCGGGCCCGCGCAGCGGCGGCGCAGCGACCACGGTGCCGCGCCCAGCCCCAGCAGCTGTGCATCCGTTTTTGAAGCCATCCCACGGCGGCCTCGCCCGCGGTCACGGGTGGCGGGGGCGGTCCGCGCGCGTCTTTTCCGCTCGCCGCGGGAAACTAGCACCCGCAATGTGCTCCCCCGGGAAGGGGGGGGGGAGGCAAGCTGGGTGCGCTCGCGTCATATCTGACATCCTACCCCTCCCTCCCATCCCTCACCATGGCGCAGATTTCCTCCCTATTCGCACAAACGGATGTCGTAGCATGGCGTAGAATTACATGGCATAGCATGGCGTGGCGACGCCCCAAAAGGAGGGTGGGGGGCTTCTGCGGCCCAACAAATCAAATATTCGACACCGCACGTGTAATTAATCACTTCCGATGGTTTCTTCGGGAGGCAATGTTTTAGATGTTGGTGCCCATTTGGAAGGACCGAAAACCATGCCGTGGCATGGCACTGGAAATAATGACGCCAGCGCTGCAGCCGGAGCACGATTCGGAACGAGCGGTAGCACGAACATCGAAAATGAGGCCAGCGCTTCAGCGAGAGCAGCCTGTTGAACCAAAAACCCAGCGCGGAAGCGCAGAAATGAGGACGCGTAGCTTGATACAGCATGGGGTGGCGACGCCCCAAAATGAGGGGGGGCTTCTGCGGCCCAACAAATCAAATAATCGGCACCCAATGTGTAATCTCTTCCGATTTTTTTTCGCGGGGGCATGTTCTAGATTTGCAGGCCATTTGGAAGGACCGAAAACCATGCCGTGGCATGGCGCTGGAAATAATGATGCCAGCGCTGCAGCGGGAGCACGATTCGGGACGTACGGAAGAGCGGGTATGAGGCCAGCATTGTTGCGGGAGTACGATTCGGATCGAGCGGTAGCTCGAAAATGAGGCCAACGCTTCAGCGAGAGCAGCATTTGGGAAAACATACCAAGCGCGGAAGCGCGGACATGAGGACGCGTAGCCTGGCATAGCATGGCGTGGCGAAGCCCCAAAATGATTGGGTGCTCCGGCGACGCAAAATGATCTGGAAAGAACCCCAGAGAAAACCCGTCTCCTGGAAATCCTGTGTGTAAAAAGACAGTGCGCGGAGGGGGGTCGGCCATTTCCCGGACGCCACCAGGGGAGAGAGGAGAGTAGTATTCATATTGTGTAATTGTGGAGGGATGGGGGAGGGCGGGCATGGGGAGGAGGACAAGGAGGAGAGGCACGAGGAGGAGGGAGGAAGGGGGTATGGGAGGATGGAGCAGGGAGGAGAGGAGTATCAGGTTGAGGGAGGACGGATGGGGGTGGAGAAGGAAGAGGAGTAAGAGGGCTCACTGGCCCTGCTCCCCCCTTCGTTGGGCCTAGGACGAGGACGGGGTAGGAAGAGGTAGCGGAGGAAGCGGAGGGAGGAGGAAGAAGGGGGTGGGGATTTTGCTCTCCCCTTTTTTCCGTGGACTGCTGCTCCCTCTTTTCCCCGCCCCCCCACAGTCCACCCCACAGTGGCGCGTGGGCGGAGCAAGGGGAGGAGGGAGGAGGAGGAGGAGGAGGAGGAGGAGGAGGAGGAGGGGGATGAGGGAGGAGGAAGAGGAGGAGGATTGCGCAACCACGAAGGAGGAGGAGGAGGAGGAAGAGGAGGAGGAAACAGAGGAGGAGGAGGAGGAGGAGGAGGAGGGCTCTGGGCACGCGCGCGCGCAACCCGATTCCTCGGAGCGCGCGCGCCGGCAAACACATCACAGAACCCTTGGAGCGCTCAACATGAGACTCTTGTCCACTTGGACCTTTGGGCACGATGTTGAAGCCGGTGGCAGCATCCATTCGTGACCATGCCTTGGATATCCGAAACTTATGCGATGGGCAGATGGGGCATTACATTTGGGCCGCCACGGGGTTTTGATACGCACATGCCGTAGATGTTTCTTTGTTCCTGCGGCACGGAGGGCTCTGGAGCGAAACGATGTTTCAGATGTTCGGGCGTGCATCAGAGGGCAGAGAAACAATGTAAGCGGCAAGCTCTTACAGCGCATCGCGTTCATTGGGATCCGCAAGGCGTGATCCACTTGGCAAGAAGAGTTCATGTGTGATGAGCTGGGGACACTCGATCGGTCGTTTGAGGACCCCTTGATGCCACTCCATGATCACTGCCTTGCAGCTTTGATGTTCATGCCAATTCGGCATCCGATCGTGCGGTTTCTCGCCAAATTCCATCAATTTTATTCACACTACTTCACAGATCGTTCACGGGTCTCTATACGCAAATGGGACCTTCAGTTCTGGAATAAGGCCTGTTTCCGCCCTGCTCATTGGACAACCGGCAGGGGTCCTCGCGACGGAACAGCGGCCAACTCGAACAGAACGGTTCGTCTGGAAGCTTAAATTCACGATGTTGGGCGAGTGGGTTTTCTTTCGACATGCACATGACCGCTACCGTTGCGGATGAAGATGGTGGCACAACGCTTTCCGTGAACAATGTAGTGGCAGTTTACATTGCATCGGTGAATCTTCGTTTCGTGAAGTTGCCGGAGATGATGCACCGAAGGAACACATATAATAACCACCCAAATGACGGATGTTGGGCAGTGAGATTGGACGAGTTGGGAAACATTGAAATTGATTAGACGGATTTTGGCGTGGTTTTGTTGTTGTAAGCTGTTAAGTAACGACGTCGTTTGCGTGCCTTACGCAATGTTTGTCATATGCAGTGGTCTCGGGCGAGCAGTGTCAGCAATGGTTGCGCCCGCTGGGCAGTGTGTTCCCCTACGTATCGAGGACGCGCACGGACAAACACCGCCGCTCCCTTCTCTTCCGCAAGCCAATGAGGGCACACCCGGGGTAGAGGTCTGGCCATGCTATTGCACTATGTGTTCCCCGAGCCGTTGTGGCGCCTTGGGGGGACACTGGAGAGCAGGGGACTGGAGAATGAGGACAGAGATGAGGAGGACGAGGGGATGGAAGAGGAAGAAGAACACAGGAGGAGGAGCAGTGGGAATGCGAAAAGGCCCCCAGAGCCTGTTGGGGGCCTTTGAGAAACTGTGCCCCCCATTAATTGCTACTACTACTACTACTACTACTACTAGTACTACTACTACTACTACTACTACTACTACTACTACTACTACTACGACTACGACTAATACTACTATACTACTACTACTACTACGACTACTACTACGACTACTACTACTACTACTACTACTACTACTACTAGTACTACTACTACGACTACTACTACGACTACGACGACTACTACTACTACTACTACTACTACTACTACTACTACGACTACTACTACTACTACTACGGCTACGACTACGACTACGACTACGACTTTTGCTGCTACTAGTCGTCCAACTACTACGGCTAACAATGCTACTACTACTACTACTACTACTACTTCTACGACTACTACTACTACTACTACTACTACTACTACTACTACTACTACTACTACTACTACTGCTACTATTACTACTACTACTACTACTACTACTACTACCACTATCACTACTACTACTACTACTACTACTACTACTACTACTTCTACGACTACGACTACTACTACTACTACTACTACTTCGATTACTACTACTACTACTACGACTACTACTTCTACTACTACTACTACTACTACCACTATGATTACCCAGACTAGTATTAGAACTAGTACGT